TGCCTGAGGTGCTGGCTATTTGGCTGTGTGAAGCTGATGGTTCAAAACACCTGAAGTGAGGCCAACTGCTGGATTTCTGTTATGAACAGATCAGGATTGGTGGCAAAGATTTCTAAATTGGTGATATTAGAAAAAAAGCCTTTGCTTTTCCAAGGGTACAATATCTGAGGCCGCTGAATCCGGCAGAAGCACAATGCGTAACAATGCTCCTAAGTTCTGATGAGGTGACCACAAGCACTCTTCTGCAAAACCGGTAAAAAACATCTGTCCTGCCATTTGCTGCCTTCTGTGACTAAAAACTCCTTTGTGAAATCTGAATCTGGAATGGCTTTTACTTGGCTAGCTGACAGGGTTGCATCGCCGGTCATACGAACTCGAAAGAGCTTGTTTAATACGACTTTTTATCTTCCTGGCTTTTTGAAAAGACTTTATGGGAGGGAGCAACTACCACTTCTGAAGAGGACTTTCCATGATTCTGGAAGCTGGGGCTTGAATTTGGCTGAAGGAGTAGGGATTGTTGTGCAAACAGGCGCTATAAATGGGAATATTTTGCCAGACTTGTAGTGTAGACTACCTTGGAAATCGAGGGTAAAAATTAAGGATTTTCAGAAAACTTTGGAGTGTTAATGTAGGTCCTTCAGAAATGAAGCCAGCAATTTTTGCAGGCTTGGCAGAGGTCAATAACTTTTGACAAGCGCTGATTTTTAGATTTCTGATTTTGTTGTGCTAATCTAGCTACACGGATACGTGCCTTAATTTAATCTGTGTAACTTTTGCTAAAACAGCAGCACCAATAGATCTGCTTAAACAAAAAACTGCAGCATGTGTGTGCCCAGAACTGCAACACCTGGGTCGTGCCAAAAGGAAAAATGCCTCATCTTCCCCCAGAAACTCCTTTTTAGGTGTTTTGCCTACCTTGCTGTGCTAAGCTAAATTTTCAGCAAAGCGTGTGTTGGTGGGTTTGTACTCCTAACCTCCTGGTTAGAGTGCATGCCTGCAGAATGTTGATTAAAATAGCACGATTGGCTTTATCTCCTCAGAGGCACACCGAGAAATTACGCTGGGCCCGTGTCTGGCATAAATCTCATAACCTGGGGCGTGAGGTGGTGTTGTTCCTAACGTAGCTGCTTTGCTCCCAAAAGAATTTGAGCTCGATGATTGAAGTTTTGGCTTGCTTGGAGAAGTCTGCAGCCCCTGGGTTGTATGTGCTGCTCCCGTGGAGGAATTAGGCTTTTTCTAAGGAACATACATATATGATGTGGCTGAAGTTGTGCTTCCTGCTAACTGCTGCTCTGCTGATTTTATTATCCTAAGTGCCACGAAAGCAGTGGTGGGAGAGGTGATGCCACTTCTGATTGCTGCAGCTTTTCCTGATGGAGCCCTGGGCTCTTCAAAACTCATCTCAAAAGCAAAATAGCTGCAGGGCAGGCACCTTGTCAGAGCTGTGAGTGGGTTGGTAGCAGCAGGACCAGGGAGATGATATGGATCAGAGAAGATGGGAGTAAGGAGAGAAGGCTGGGGATGGGTATTGAGATACTGGAGGAAGGCAGACCTGAACCAGGCGGGAGTTAGAGGAAGGGGTGATGCTTTAGAAGGAAATGGGTAGAGAAACTACTTTTTTTTTTTTTCATTTTTAAATTTTTTTTATGCACCTGCATAAAATAGAGGAATGGCTTTCATGCTGCACGTGGCGGAATGATGTACAGAAAGACTCAGGGCTAGGGCACCTGCTACTTATGGCTGCACAGGGCAAGGAGTGGATTTTGTGCCTGCAGCACTGGTGGATAGTGTTTGCTGTCATTAGCCTCATGAGCTTTTCATGCTTTCTCATTTCTATGAGCTGAGTCTTTCAGGATGGACTGAGGGGAGTTGTCCTGGCCACCAGGTGTTCTTCAAGGCGCAGGAGGGCTGCACCAGTCTTCTCAGCCAGCCTTAGCTCACTTCCTGACTCTGGCCTCTCCTGCTCAGCAAAATCCCTTTTCTTGAGTGTTTTTAGACCATATTTCAGGCTGAAGTGGCACTTTCTGTGCTCAGGGATCTGACTCGCCCTGTCATGTAGCTTATAGTGCTTCAGCAAATACAGCCTTCATATGAAGTCATAGAGATGGAGGGAGAGACACCGTTTTGGATGTGTTAAACACTTTCCCAGCCAGTGTGAGGTAGTACACAAAGGTGCCCTCCACCACGCTGAAGCAACCGCTTGTAGCACAGGTTATAAAGGGGTACTGAGACATGGCTTCCATATGGGAACATGATGGATATTTACACAAATTGTGCAAGGGTACTGTCAGATCCTGCTCTGAACTTCTGCAAAACACCTGTCAAACTTTCAGAGGAGCAGAACAGCTTCTGCTGTTGCTTGTGGCGTCTGAGTCCTTCAAGTAGCACTCAGCGATGGTCAGGCGACGGAGGGAAAACAGCTGCCAGGGCTGGAGGCAGCAGCTATTGAGCTGTACTCAGAGGGAAGGTGCATTTGCCATCCACATGGCTCATTGTCTCACCTTGAGGTGACTCTGCATTTGACAGACGTAAGTTGCTCGTGTTTTAAAACACCTGGCAGACTAATAGGTTGAAAGATTCAAGACAGGAGTGATTCCAAGCCTTGAGGTGCTTTAGTTACAAAGCCAGACACCTGCCCGGCAGCGCAGTTCCTGTGCAGCCCAGGTTTGGGATTATTTGCAAGCTGAGTGTTTTGTTCGTCCCTTGCCCAAGGGACACGAGGCTCGGCTGCCTTTTGTTCTGCTCTTTCCTCCCCTAAAGAGGGAGGAACAGAGGATGCTTCCCTTGCCAGAGTCCTCGCTGACCTCTGTCCAACCCTCTGATCCTACTCCACCCTTGCCCTTCCAGCTCCTGTGCTGCTTCTCCCCTGTTTCCAACCCTCTCGGCTTTTGGGGCCCACTACTGCCATGCTCTCTCATCAAGCCAGTTTCAATGGGCTTGGGAGCTGAATAAATAGTTTTCCCTCCTTGGCTTTTACTCTTCCATGTCTTAATTGTGTTAGGATGGAGGGGAAAAACCTCAATCATGCTCTCTGAGCTGTGTACTCGAACCATCTTGCTCCCACCTGACCCACCGAATAGGAAGGATGGAGAAATGCAAACCTGTTGGGACAACTTCCCTGGGGCTGTAGTCTGGGTTCTGGTGGAGATAGAAAAGCCGAGGTCGTGGACTTGAGCCTACCTCAGGCTGATGTTTTGCTTTACAGTGATGCACAAGTTCTCCTGGCACCAGGGGGGCTGTCAGCATAGTGGGTACTCTGCTTTGCTGAAGAGATGTTACGGTGTCCATCATGCATTTCGGAGGAACCAAACCCCAAGTTTAGCACTTTGTTTGGGATTGGGATGCTTGCGTGGGGCTTCACAGTGCTTGTGATGCCAGCTGATGCTCTGGCTGCTGTCAGTCCCTCCAGGACACAGGCTGCTCCTCAATCCTGACACAACTGCCAGCCCACGTGCAGATGTTTCATACCCAGTGGTGCTTACAGTGCCATTATTCTTTGGGTATTGCGTTCAGGTGTTTCCTATACTTTCCTCACCTCACTTCTTTCCATCTGTCTTTGGACAAGTTTCCATTGTCAAGGGATGGAAACAGCTGCCTAAGTTCCACCAGTAGCGGAGGACAGCATCCTTGATGCATTTTGCTGGCTGCCTGGCAGGCTAGGTGGGGACAGCAGCACCTCGGACTCTTTTTGAAGCCTTCAGAGCAGTTCTCGTAGGACTAATCCACGTTTATCCCTGTCAAGCAGGTAGATGAAGGAGGTAGAGATCAGGACGGGGGTTGGTCTGAGGGTTTATGTTGGGTTTTCCACACCTTGCGTAAGCAGCTCAGAAGCCCCCTGGAGGCTTGAAGCCCCTGGAGCCCTCCTAGGGAAATACTGAGCACCCATGAGCGCGTCACTCATAGCAGGAAGGGCTGTAACTCCAGTCTTGAGTCGCTGAGTTCCTGTTTGTGGACTCCCTGCTCGAGGCTTTTCTTTTTGTGGCGAGCTTGTGGGCTTGAGATCCCTCTGAGACCACATGTGCTGCCATCAGATGCTGCTGCCTCTACATTTGCTTATAGGAGGCTTTAAAAAAAAAAAAAAAGTCATCAATATTTTAGCTTCCATTCAAGCCTCTGCTCACCTTTTCCATTTTACTCTAGAGCCTAAAGCAAGCTAATGAAATGTATCTCTACTGCTTCAAATTAAGCATAAAAGACTTGTCAGAAGATGGGTAGAAGCTGCTTGAATAATCCTGGTAATGTAAAAATTGACATTCTATAATGTCCCTAATTCTCCTAATTAAACATGATACACGAGCATGCCACAAGAGTCCTCCAGCTGCTTTGTAATAAAACATTGCAGCAAACTAGCTCGCTGTTGAATGAGGCTAGGTTAAACTCTAATTAGAGTTGTGAAAGGCTAAGGAGTTGTCCTCTGTAATTAAGAAACTTGTCTTGCTTTCTCAGTGCTGCTGCCTCCTGTGACCTGCTCCTCTGCTCTGTGGGGCCTCACTGTCCCTATTGGATTTCGTATATCTCCTTGGAAACTTTTTTTCCTTCTTTTTTTACTTCCCCCCACACCCACTCAGTTTCAAATTGCTGAATCGTGGCCGGTGACTTGAGCTGATGATGGGTTTGGGGTGGATTGGTTCTGCAGTACACCTTCTGGATGTGTTTGTGGCTTACAGCCTGAGATTTTTTTATCATGCTTGCTTTTTTTTTTCTTTATATCTGAGGGGGGTGAGGCGTGTCCTCTTGGATTTCACACTTGCACCATTGCCTTGGTGAGCGGGTTGGCGTTCCCACCCCCCCCCCCAGCCTCTGTAGCGGCTCTGTGGACACATTCCTGAGGCCAAAACATGCCGGAGTTGATTGCTTTTATGATTTTCAGAGAAAATTCTAAGAGAAACCACCTGGCGAGACCTGAGGCTGAGCTGCAGGATAGCTGGGTTCTCCTGCAGCTTCATGGCTTCGGGGCCCTGGTGCCACCCCACTAACTGCCCTCCCTGTCTCATTGCCAGGGTACCTCAAGTGTGACACGGACGATGGCTGTGAGGCCAAGGAGGAGGCGGGGGGCGAGGAGCTCTTCGACGCCGTGAACTCCTCCATCGTCTCTGGGGACAGCATCCGCTTCTTTGTCAACGTCAACCTGGAGATGCCACTGAAAGCCGCCGGTAAGTGTCACCCTGAAATCAGGGCCATTTTTGGTTTTGGTTTTTTTTTTTTTTCTTTTTCTGGAAAAGCCTAATAGAAATCTTGCTGATGAACTGGGTCTTGAACCATCAATGTGAGGCATCCCAACTCTTTTTTTTCCCCCTTTTTTGGTTTTAGTTATAAAAAGACCTCAATTTTGGGCCTGAGGCCTTGCCCTTGCTCTCACTGCTGCGGCCTGGTCGTTGGAGGAGAGGCATTTCTAGTGAGAAATCAGACTGTCTTTTTGGCACGTATTGTCCCTGTAGATAATTCAAACGTTGCTCTGGGGCTTCCCAAGGGTTTTGGATGTTTTTATGATGGTGTTTGAATTAAAATCTTGGAGGTGAGTCAGGGCTACAGATCCCATCCAGGTCACTCTCTTCTCTCCACAGCAGCTGGTAAGGGGAGGAAGAATGTTAGAGGATTTTTTGGGGTTGGATACATTTCTTTCGGGTTTTAATCCTCCTGGATGGAGACAAGACACTTGCTGTGTGCAGTCAGGTGCAAAAATGAGGAGAAAACCAGCCTGTTGGACGCCCCTGATGGAGGTCAGGCCCCCACAGCCACATCTATGGGGAGGTGCCATTGTAGGTTGTGCTCTGTCAATAAATACAAAACTGCCCTCTCCAGGTGAGGACCCAAGTGCCAGATTTTCTCAAATATGTTTTAGCGGGATCTGTGCTTCCTTTGAGGCAGGTTCATTCAGGGGAGGAGGCAGGTGTTTGGCAGTGAAACGTACCCCTGGGGCTTCCACCCTCAGGGAGCCACAGTCCCAGCTTTAAGCGGTGGATTTGGGTCATATAAGCCAAGTGGCCATCAAAGGAGATGATTATGGAGTTGTGCTGAAGATGACAGGCATGTCTGCCCAAAACCATGCTCTTTGTGTACTCCCTTGCTGAGCTGGTGTACTTTAGATGCTTTGCCCAACAACGAAATCCCTAGATTGCTCTAGAGGCAGGGTGTTTTTGCCTCCAGCACAGCACTTTAAGACCTGTTGTGAGGCATGCATTAAATGGTGAAGGATGAGGACTAGAAAAAAATCTGGCTTTTGCAGAAAAGTGCAACTCTGGGACACGGCAGCAGCCTGGGTTTCGTCCCAGCACCTGGAGGCAGCTTGGAGCCTGCTGGTGTGGGCACTGACTATTTTGGAGATTAAACTCAAGGGCTCTGGATTATCCTTGGCGTCACACTATCGGAGAGTCCTTTAAGTTTGCTCTAAGTTATGTTTAGATTATAGGCAAATCCCAATTAATTTATACCAAGCATTTATTGGGAACGGTGATGCAAAGTAGGCATGGCCTGGACCTCTGCTTGACTGTCTCAAAGACTACCTTTTGAATTAGAGTGGTGACTTTAACTTAAAAATAATATCAAGCGATTTTCAAGCCTGCAATTTTACAAATGCCATCTTAATGGAAAGATTTAAGGGGAACTGTACTCTGCTATGGCAAGTCTGGGCTTAATGCCGTGGGCTGCATTGTTTGGGGATGAGGAATGCAAGTGCTGTGGATTCTTCTGCATCTGAAGGAGCTGACTTGCCTTATGTGTCCTCGTGGGCTTTTTATAAGTGTTTTACCTTCCATTTAAAACAGGACAAAAAAGGTTTCCTTATTTCCTTCAAGCACTCATGTTTGTGATGGTGGTATTAGTTGTATCCCTTTTCTTCAGCTGAGATATGTAGGATTTTTTAGGAAAAATGGGACTTTTCAAGTGCTGGAGTACACTTTCAAATGCAAGGATGGAAGTATTAAAAATGAATTTCAGGTAGAACAAAAGTCCAGACTTTCAGTAAGGGCAGATGTGAAGTGAGGTTTGGGTTTTTTTTTCCTATTTCTTCCCCCCTCCCCCTCGATATCATCAAAGCAGTCCAGGTAGCCAACAATCCAGGTTCTCCTCCTTCAGGATTCTTCATACCCCAAGTGTTAGAGTTATCTAGGCTGTCAGATCTTTGTCAGAGGTAATTTTACTGAAGCACCTTCCAAAGTGGGTTTCATACATACTACATGAGTCTCTGGCTGCAGGGGGCATAGATGATCCTCCTGGAAAGTTGACTTCTCAGGTGCTTGGGAGTGGCTGAGATGAGCCCCTTAAGTTCTTCTAATGAAAGTAACTGGAACTGCTGAAAAAAATACCCTCTTGACAGTCTTCTTAAGCTCCTTCCACAAATAGAGGTTTAGGTATGCCATGGCTGAGGGGAGTGTGCTGCTGTTTCTCGTTCAACTCTGCAAGGGGAGACTTTTCAGAAATGCCCTTGCATTGCTGCTGCTCACTGAGAGTTTTTTTTTATACTGAGGCTTCGTGTTCCTGGAACAAAGCTGTGGAGCTGAGTGCTTCAGAGAGACAAGCTAAAAAAAAAAAAAGGAAAGGCAGATTTTGCAATAAGAGAATCCCCCAAACACCTCGTTTCTAACCCCCGAGGGAGCTAGTGCTCCAGAATCACACAAGATCTTTAAACACAGTGGAGGAATGACATCTTGCCATCATCATCTCACTTTCTTGTTTTCTCCAAGCTGGGTGAAACCTTTGTTGAGCTGAAAGTCTTCCTTGTACCAGAGGGCTCCGTGTCACTCTCTTGCATCGTGCAACTTGTTTCAGGACTCTCTGGGGCTGGAGTAGTTGCTGCCTGGTCAGAGAGAGACTGACCATGTGCTATCTCCTGCCAAGAAGGCTCCCCAGTGCCCTCTGCATTGATTTGCTCCCTAGTGCCAGAGGCACTTGCTGCATTAAATGCATTTGTTTAATCTCCAGCAGAAAAAGCCTGTAAGGTGACTTGAAATAGGATAAAAAGCTGCTCTGTGGTATCTGTGAGTCTCTGTGTGCATATTCTGGTTGCCACAGTTTGGTCTCTTGGCTGAATGTGGTGTCCAAATTTTTTACTGCTGGAGAACTTTACTGGCGAGCTGCTGTGGTGTTGCTGCCCACCTTAGTGTAGGGTTAAAAAATCCAAAAAGTCTCTTTTTGGGAAGGGATGAGTTGGTACCCTGGGGCCCGGGTGCTGGCAGGCGCAATATAAGTGGAGTTACAGATGCGGTGACAGCTCTGCCATCATCCTGTCGAGCTGTTAATTCTCTGTATGATGGATGTACAGCTTGCTATGAGCATAATTGGATGCACTTTACTGTAATTCTGTTTTTAAAAAGATCACTGTGTGGGATTAAACGTTGAGCCAACAAAATATAGCACGGCCCATAAAACTCCGACAATTAACCATTGTCATAAAATGCTGGGCTGTGTGCACAGATGTGTATAAACCAGAATACCCTGAAGAAATCTAGAGTTTAGGGTATGGCCTATCTCATTTTTAATCAATACTGGCTGCTGTTTCATGGAATATTGAGCCTAAATCTGTGCAGATTGCCTGGGCACTAAAATGTTTTTGCATGTTGACACTCAGGTTCTTTCTCCTGGGTGTTTTGTTGTTTCCTTGTGGTAGCTAATAAAAAGCTTAATAATAATAACAATAATAATATTATGTTCAGCCTCTCATCCTTCCAGCCTAGGTTTTGGTGGCAACACTTCTGTTTTCAGCAAATGTTGGTAGCTCCAGTGTGAAGGTGGGTCGCTAGCTGACGCTGGGTGGTTTTGGACCTGGAATCTGTGTTTTCTGGGGAAGATCGAATGAGTTTGAGACAAAGACTTGTTCTGAAGTCACAGTAAATGTGTGTGGGTCAAGTGATAGGTCTGTGCCCTTCTGCATGTATTTTTGCAGGAGTCAGTACTGCGTTCCTGTCCCAGGACCTGTTTGCTCTCCAGACCAGTGTGCTACAAGCCCTGCTTATTTCATAGCTACCAAATTATGTTTAGAGGTTTGCAGGCTCGTGCCTGGCTTTACAACAGCTTTCCTATTCTCTCACTGAGCTAGAAGTCCGTTAATCCTCCTGCTTTAGTGCTAGCTGGAGGTGAATTTGACTGTTGTTTTTTTAAAAAATATTTTTATTTATTTTTTTAAATTTTATTTTATTCCTAGGCTTTTCCGTAAATCCCCCTGGAGCCTGGGCTGCAGTTGTCCCTTCAGCCTCTCAGGTTCAAGCACTTGCTGCTTTATCTGCAGCACACTTGGAAATAAATCCCTGCAAATGAATACAGCAATTTAGTTTCAGCTGAGCCTTAAAGTTGGTGGGCAGGCAAGGCAAAGTGTGCAGGACCACAGCCTTGACATCGATCCCAGTGTTCTTACCTGCTTGTTATCTCCCTTTAAATCAGCCAGGACAACACATTCATTGTTTGGACCTCATTCATGGAGTTTTGGAGTTTAGAACAATCCTTTGGACCTTGTTCTTGCAGCTTAGAGATTTAAAACAGTTCGTCTTTCTCCTCCTTTCCCTAGACTGAAACAGAAGGATTTGCACTGAGTTATATTATTTTTTTCCTAAACATGGGCATAATTTGTGAGGGAATTGTGGAGCTGCAGCCACTCGGCTTCTGTGGTTATGCATTGCCACTTGTAGCTGATGCTCGTGCCAGTGGGTTTAGCTGCACAGAGGTGCCTGAAGAGGTTTTCTGGAAGGGCAAGGAGGCAAAATCTTGACGGCAGCGAAAAGCCAATCGGAAAGCAGGATGTGGCTTTGTTGGGATGTGTGTGTGGGGGGGAAATAACGGAACATGATTTACGCTTCATGAGAAATTAAAGCCTGTTCCACCCTCTGGACAATTGATCATTCCTAGATACGGAGAAATCAACAGTTTCCTGTAATCCTCTCCAGAGGCACGCACGTGCACGCCCGCTGCCGCT